GCGGGTGTCGGTGACCAAGAGAACAAGACCATACGCACTAAATCTTGTTACTGTTCAAAAGTATAAGTCACAGGAAGATAAAGGGAAAAATAATTGCTCTTCGTTGCCAGCGAAGTTATCGTCTGTACTGGTTCCAGTACTGGCCCCTGCCCAGACCACAGGGATGACAAAGCCAGGCTTTCACAAGAGCTCAGCTCAAGTCGCATTTTGAGCATGTTTTCTGAAGGATTTCACCACTGCACAGCCCTGGACTTAAAAAGCTGTCTTCTCCTGCACCACCTTTTTCTGTTAAAGACAGCAGGCTCCGTAATTGGGGTTCACTTTTCCCAATCAGTGTTACTTGCTCTGCTGCATCAGAAGGACCAGCGCTTCCTTCTGCTGCCCCCACTCATTCGTCTACGACATTTTCACATCCAGTTGCCACCTGCAAGCATGACGTGACACTGTTTGGGTTCTGTAAGTTCCTCTTGATAATAACCCTGCTTTCCCCAGATGCTTGGCAAAGGACATTTATGAACTAGAAATATAAACGTGAAAGGCTGCTACAAGGAAATGCCCCCACCAAAATCTGTGTATGGTTACTGCGTACTGCCACCATGAGCAGAGGAGTCAGTCAGGAACACGGTGCCTGCTCGTCACCAACAGACTGTCCCTCTGGTCTAGCTGAGGTTTGATTTACTGCTTTTTCTCAACAAAACTAAACTTTCTAATTTTTTTAAACTCCACTTCTCCTGCAGAATCAACACCCCTATGGAAAAAGAGGACGGATTTTAACCTAGGCTCATCATTCACCCCTAGCATCTCTGATTCAGCTTACCCAAATTCCAACTGCAGAGTCTACCTGTGGCTGTGACACCTTGGCTAGACTGATCGCTGTTAACACACAGAGCCCAAGGGCTGCAGGGGTGGCAGGACAGGACCACGGCATTGATTTTTACTTATAAGCTCAGGAAATTTGATTAACAGGTGAAAAGCTGCACTGTCTGAGTAAGGAAGACCCTGCGTTATTATGTCACACTATATTATCTGTTAGAAACTCTAAAAAAGTACCAAATTATTAATTGCTATTTTCCAACCATTACAGAGTGCAGCAGGATGCTCATAACTATTTATAACATTCTCCAAGGACACGACAGTCTGGAGAACCCACTATTCACATATATAATATTCCTATAACATCTATGTCACTTATCCCATTATGAAGAAGAGTCTAGCGTAAAGCATGGCCTTTGCTATTCCTCTCTCTGATTTATCCATGGACAGAACTGTCAAACCACACAAGAAGGAACTCTTTCATATACCTTTTGTTTATTTAGAAACCCTGGGGTCCCCCTCTCTCCAGTACGACTCCAGAGCATTCTCTCTTTAATGAACTCATTTTGCCATGCTTTGGAAATTCCTTTCTCTATAGGTACCAGCACGTACTAACAGAAGCAGAGCTGGGCTGCAAATCTGATTATCCCTTTCTCCCTCCATCCACCCTTCTCCTGGGATACTACAGGAGAACTAGGGATATTCTCACTCCTTGTCCTACTACCGGCAAGTATCAAAGTGCTGCAGTGTGACTGCAGCTCAGTTGAAGCTTAAAAGAAATGCAAGTGCCTCCCAACAAAAGGAGGATCTACCGAGTGTGTTCCTGTCCTGCAGTCTCACTTTCCAGACTCTGGGAGGGAGTCACTTCTGCCACTTACTTCCACACTTCTGGAACGAGTAGAGCCCAACTAGCCCAGCTGATAATGACTGAAAGGCATCAAGTGCAACTGTTTTCAGTCAGCCAGACCTGGAGGCTGCGCGGCGTTGCCAGGACATAGGAAGCTTTGTAACATAAGCCTCTTGGGGGAGGAGGAGAGAGGAAGGCTGGGGCAGACTGAGCTGGCGGAGGGCATGCCAAGTTCCCGAAACTCAAAAGCTGGCTACAGAAAGGTTTGCATCAGCTCCTTCGCAGTCAAGGGAAACCAGCTCCAGGCTTCCTCTGATTGGATTTGCTCCGATGCATGCTAATGTGTTTTAGTCCACTTGGCCTGAAGCGTCTGTTACATCAACGTGATCCAGCCACACAGGCCAGGACACGCAGGAGCGATCCACCCAGCGCCTCTCCAACTGCAGCCCGCACCACCTCCTCCCTGCCGAGCGGCTTCAACCCGGCTGTGCGACACGCGCAGGGCACTGGAGCCCTCAGCTTAGCGAGCAAGACTTTTGCCCTGCCGTTGCCCGCACACCAGTGGGTTCCCAGTCTAGCAGGCTGCAGAGCCCCTGCGTGACCCAACACATGTCCCTGGCACAGCTTTTTATTCTTTATGTCTTTGTCCTCAGCAGAAAAGTCTGTGAGAAGCTGAAAGACAGGCTCCTACCTCGTTATCCACACTCTCCGTGGCCATGCACTGGTTGTTGGCTAGCGTGGTGATCTCTCTGCTTTTGGGGGTTTCCATTCGACAGCTACAGAGGGGGACTTCCTGGAGACCATCTACTTCCATTGCTTCAGGACCGTTGGAAAGACCTGGAGTACAGAAGACCAGTAAATCAACTCTGAACTTCTCTTCTGGAGAAAGATCAGTCCATCAGCAACACCTACATCCTGTGACATCTTCCCCTTCTGTATCCTGAAACGCTTTCAAGGCATTATCCAAACCCTGTAAAAAAGCTCCCTTTCTCAAACCAGTTGGACTTAGAAAAGTACAGGATGCTTTTGCAAAGTCCAGCCCCGCTACAGATGACTGTGCTGAAATCAAGAATAAGTTAAAAAGAGTTTACTTTGAGAAAACCTCAACAAGGAAAGGTAACAATGAGGTACAGATTTTTATCAGCCTCTCTCTCCTCCCCACCTGCCCCAAAACACTGTGCTCTGGCACCAGAAAATGTGTAGGGACCCACCCGGAATTGGAAATTTGAGTAGCTAGTGGAGCGATAGATAAAGAAGATCAGCAAAGCACAAACTTCTGTTTGCAGAGACTTATTACACAGATGGGAAAACAAAATTCCTGGGACTATTTGGTCTCAGCCAACCAAGAATTATTTATTTTGGAAAGAGAACAAACCAGCGAAAAGAAAGCAGCAAGATGCTCAGATGTTCTTGCCTTCTCCTCATCTCCTTCTCTCAGACTTTGAACATTTTCAAACTTATTTAAAGGTGCATAATGGCTTTTGAGGCAGGCTCACCACCACGTATGGGGGCACAGCGTGAATGTTCTTGTGGCTCCTTTGGATTCAACTCCATCACTAGGTTACCCGATTGCAAAACACTGGCCTAACAACAAAGGGGTTGCTTTTAGTCCGTCACTCCTATTCTCATCCTACACAGTCGTAACCTCTCTTTGCAACGTCTTCATTACAGAAGCAAACCCTCCAACATTTGCCTTCAGATTGGTTCACCCTGAAGTGTCCCAAGCTTCCCTTCCCAAGCCTGCTATGGGACTGAGTCCCAGTGAGAAGGAAGCGTGCTGCTATTTTTTAAGCTTTTGAAAGAATTATTTTGCTGCAAAGTTTAAAAGATTAACTTCTTTCCTGAAGGAGATTCCTCTTTAGCTGCCCTGGCACTGGCAGCACTCCCTCCACAACATCCTGCCTATGGCAGTGACCCCACTAGCCCAGCACAAGCCCCTTTCATCTTGTACGAGTTTCCTTTAGCCAGCAAGTTGCAAGACCAAGCCTAGGGAAGGGATGGGATATTTCAAGACATATGAGCAGAGGGAAAGTCCTTGCAGCTTTCATGTAAAACCCTGTCAAGATTTTAAAAGGTTTAAGAGCTTTTTCTAGGACCACAAATTACAAAGGTCATTCCTCGCCTTCCAAGTTGTCACTTTCCTAATCTTTTTGACATCCAGAGGCTCTGGTGAAAGCATCCCTCGTCCATCCTGATCCTGCCTTGGTGGTGAACATTCCCACCCACCCTTTGATGTGCCTCTATCAAAACAGCCAGACAACATCTGAAAGTAAAAGAGCAACAAGGGACAGACGGATGGATCCAGGTCAGCGAGGAGGTATTGGATTCTGAGGCAAGTTCAGCACCGGGAGCAGCAGCCGCTCCGCTGGAGGTGAGCTCCCAGGAGCCAATGCTAGTCCCTCCCTAGCCCTTCCCGAGGCTGAAGAGGCGGATCCTGGGGGGCAGTGGCAGTGAGCTGGGGAGACGCTCAATCAGCATCCTTCAAGGAATGGAGGGGAGCTGC